ATCCCTGGAGGCTTTTAAAAAGAGACTGGACAGCCATTTGTCTAAAACAGGGGTCTTCAAACTTGACAGCTTTAAGACTTGTGGATTTCAACTCCCAGAATTCCTCCTCCAGTCATGTTAGCTCAGGAATTCTGGGAGTTGAAGTCCACAAGCCTTAAACTTGCCAAGTTTGAAGACCCTTGATCTAAAATGATGTAAGGTCTCCTGCTTGAGCAGGAAGTTGGATTAGAAGGCTCCCAAGGTCTCCTCCAACTCTGTTATTCTGTATTGTCATAACCATAATAACAATAGGGGGTAACAAAGAAGATAGTAAGAAGGATAAATAATAATACTACAGCCATACAAAATGTTTAAATATACATTAGACAGCACTGTTGTGTAAACTCATGGATTTGAAGGTATGTAGGAGGAGAAGGATAAATCTTCTGCTAACTATCCAGATTGTTAACTTCTGGGCAGATCAAGAGCTATGGGTGATATAATTTGGCCCTAGAATCTTAGGGGTTTGACCCCTTGTGCGATGTGTTCTTAGTTTTGTAGCCAGGTGCAATGCGCACAGCACGTATGCTGTATTTTTATTGTATTGGGCGATGCCCTAGAATTGAGTGTCAATAATACGTTGGCAGTAGTCATAATAGAAGCCGTACTACACAGTGGTTATTATAAATAGCTCTCATATAAATAGAGCTGCGAGATTATATTACGCAGTAATTCTGCAGACATGATACAATGCCTGCTCTAAATGAACTCCACATATTTAGCCTAAAGAATTGAACGCTGACAAGGGATCAAGCAGGGTCTATATTTCATACCTTGTTTCAAAGCCAAAATTGGGGTTTTAGGTTCCGAGTCGGTAAGAATTCAGCACGCATAATGTGCAAGAATACACTGGAGTTTACTTAGCCCAAAATAGCATCTTTGTCTCTTACAGCATGACAGGGGAATGCTGCATTGAAGAGAGGCCCTGCTTAGAATGTCAAGACATGGGTGATGGGTAGATATTAAATCCACAGCTCTGGGTCCCCAAGATTTACAACTGCAGAAGCTATTAGCTTAAGTAGACCTGTGAAATCCACCTGTCATTAGAAGACATGAAATACGAGACAACTTTTTGAGTGCTAACAGTCACATTTTCATAGACGGCAGAGAATCAGCAGCAAGTTTAATTGTAGAATGAAACCGGAGGTTGAAACCAGCTGGAGGGAGAAAATTATCAGGATGCGCTTGGAACTGACAGATAAAACGTTTTGAGAATCCAATAAAGACTTAAAAAAAAATGTTAACAGTGGAATTCTGGAGTTCCAGGAAACGTAGTTTGAACATTGTGGAAACAGACTTACATTTCTGCAGTCCTTGGAAGTCTCCAAGCTGGGTTGTTTTCTTGCAGACATTTCATTGTCCAGCTAGGTAACATCATCAGTGCTACATCATCATCATCATCTAACACTGATGGTGTTACCTAGTTGGGTAAGGAAATGTCTGCAAGAAAACAATCAAGCTCAGAGAGCACCAAGGACTCCACAATCGGCTCCTCCTCCTCCCCCCAAACTCCACTTTCTTCTAGTACTGATGATGTTACCTAGTTGGGTAATGAAACGTCCACAAGAAAACCACCAAGCTCAGAGAGCACCAAGCACGCCACAGTTCAATCCTGAGCTACAAATACTCTCTTCTATCGGTAGACTAATGTTTACTTCTTTTTATTTACACATTCAATTTATATGACACGGTTCTCCTCCTGGAATATTATGTTAGAAGTATCCAAAGTAAGAGCAGGGGAGTTAATCGCCTTCGTTTAATCAACTTATTAGCACTTTGAAAAAACGTTTCCTTGGATTTATGAAATAAAATCAGGGAGGAGGGGGGATAACACCACATTCAGCCCAGGAGAAGAGCACAAGGCAGCTATTGATCGAACTCTGCCGGTCAATTAGGAGACAAAGACACTTTTGTGAAGTTTAATGCTATCGAATAACCGTACACCGAGCCCATAATCAGCAAGGTGCTAGGAGAGGCCGAAATTCTGGCATTCCCAGAAAGTTTGAGCACACTGAGGGGTTCATGGGGGGCCCCTCAGGAATCACTTACAGCACCTTAAAAAGCCCACCCAATTAAACCAAAGTTATCTTTTTCGAGGGGAACCTGTGGCGTAGAAAATCTTTCAGCCGAATGGCATCTGCAGTTACAAATCTCATAAACGGTGTAGAGAGTGAAGTTTAACCTTCTCCCATTGTCTGTCTGTCCTGTCCTGTCCTGTCCCTGTCCTTCCTCTCTCTCTCTCTCTCTCTCTCTCTCTCTCTCTCTCTCTCTCTCTCCATCTATCATCTATCTATCTATCTATCTATCTATCTATCTATCTATCTATCTATCTATCATCTATCTATCTATCTATCTATCTATCTATCTATCTATCTATCTATCTATCTATCCTGGAGCATTAACCTGGAAATAAGGAGAAATTTTCTGACAGTGAGAACAATCAACCCATGGAACAAAAGTTGCCTTCGGAAGTTGTGGGAGCTTCATCACTGGAGGCTTTCAAGAAGAGATTGGACTCCCATCTGTCAGAAATGGTGTAAGGGTCTCCTGCTTGGGCAGTGGGTTGGACTATAAGGTCCCTTCCAACTCTGATTATCTGTTAACACAGTGGTTGGATGCCCTTGCTATCTGGGGAATTTTGGGAGTTGAAGTACAACCTCCAAGTGGCCTCAGCAACTCTCTAAAAGGATGCAAATGACCAGCTGTCTGCAAGGAGTGCAAATGCTTCCATTCCCCACCATGCAGTCAGAGCTGAAGAAGCTTCTTGGATGAGAAGTGAAACGTCTTCAAAGAAAACCAAGAAAGTCCAATTGCCTCTTGAAAAAAAACACGTTTGGGACAACCATGACCTGGATGACTGAGAATTTCCACAGACATACAACAGAGCCTCAACTTCCTTGATCTAACCTAAAGATGTTCACAGCACGTTCTATCATGATATATGTCCCATCGTAGCCCATCACGTTGCTAACCAGTTTTCGTCTTCTGTTCAGATATACGAAAGAAGTAAAAGTGAGTCAGAGCAACTACCCGTGAATACACCGCCTCGTACTAAAACTCCTGCACCCTTATTCCTCCACACAGGAGACCCCACCAAGGTTTGGCATCTAACAGAACCATAACAGTTTCACACGTTGGGGCAAGAATCCAGCCAACGTTGCACGAACAAAGGTGAATTTCTTCCCAAGCCGCAGCATACTGTGGCTTGCACACTCTGTGCAAAGAAAGGAGAGAAGATTGAAACAAGCCCGTCGCTAACAAATCAAGTCCAATAGAAGAAGGTGTCATGTTGGCTCAAACACACACACACACACACACACACACACACACACACACACACACCTTGGAAATATGGATCTGTGAGAAAATGTGGCCCAGAGATTGTAGGGGTTCGGTTTCCTTGGCTCCTAATCAGCAGTTTAATTATAGTAACTTTTCAGTCCACTTAAAAGTGCTCAAGATAAGTGCAGCGGTAGCAAAACCGCCTCACTCGCTCTGCTTGACTGCCTCCTTTTTCCTTTTATTCTTCCATCTCTCCTCCCCTCCTCAAAAATATAAGCGAAACGTCTTCAAAGAAAAACCAGGAAGTCCAACTGCCTCTTAAAAAAACACCCTGTGGGACAACCATGACCTGGGATGACTGAGAGTCTCCGTAGATTCTTTTATCGGTAGATATAATAAAGATAAAGATAAAAAAATAAATGTATCTTTTCTTTTTCTTTTTTTGTATACCAAGAGCACATGCACCAAGACAAATTACTTGTGTGTCTAATCACACTTGGACAATAAAGAATTATATTATTTCTTTCTCTCTTCTTATCTATCTATCTATCTATCTATCTATCTATCTGATTTGATTGCTTATTGTACCCTATGACTATTAAGTGTTGTACCTTATGATTCTTCACTCTTGAATGCATCTTTATGTACACTGCACCAAGCATTTGCACCAAGACAAATTACTTGTGTGTCTAATCACACTTGGCCAACAAAGAATGCATTCATTCATTCATATCAATTCATATTCATTTTGTTCGCCACATTATAAAAAAGATGTTGAGACTCTAGAAAGAGAGCAGAGAAGAGCAACCAGGATGATGAGGGGACTGGAGACTAAAACATATGAAGAACGGCTGCAGGAACTGGGCCTGGCTAGTCTAGTAAAGAGAAGGACCAGGGGAGACATGATAGCAGTCTTCCAATATTTGAGGGACTGCCACAGAGAGGAGGAAGAGGTCAAGCTATTTTCCAAAGCACCTGAAGGCCAAACAAGGAATAATGGATGGAAACTGAACAAGGAGAGATTCAACCTGAAAATAAGGAGAAATTTTCTGACAGTGAGAACAATCAACCCATGGAACAATAGTTGCCTTCGGAAGTTGTGGGAGCTTCATCACTGGAGACTTTCAGGAAGAGATTTTTTAATCAGAAATGGTGTAGGGTCTCCTGCTTGGGCAGGGGGATTGGACTAGATGACTTACAAGGTCCCTTCCAACTCTGATTATCTGTCATCTGTTATCATATTATATTAATATATATTAGCCACACACACACACACAAAACACTGAAGAAGCTTCTTGGATGAGAACTGAAACATCCTCAAAGAAAAACCAAGTCCAGTTGCCTCTTGAAAAAGCACCTTTGGGACAATCAAGACCTGGAGGATGGAGAATCTCCATAGCGACAGGTTGAGAAGCATTGCATTAATACATATTAACTGTACTTAAGTTGATGTTCCTACAAAACAAAAAAAAAAAAAAAAAAACCTTAGTGAGATTAAGTTACGTTTTTGCCCTGGGTCTGCCCATTTTTCTTCTCACGGTCCCACAAATTTTTCAGTTTTGAAGCAAGGTTTTTCCTGGGGCACCCAAAATAGCTTTCGCTTACAGAAAGTTGCTCCCCTCCACCTTCAAACAAGATTTACTTTGTTAACTCGCTTGCCACTCAACGACTCAACCCACCTTCGCTGCTGTAACTGTAGACCGCCACTGTTGACCTTTCCATTAGATTTTCATCGTGGTGCCAACTCACAGCCATTCTCCCCATGCCAAAATAGGGCTCCAGTTTCAAGGACGGCATTTTCTGGGGATCCATATAATTTAATAATGTCAGGTTGTAAGATGTTCTCTCTTTCAGGACGGTGGAGTCACTCTTCGGAGAAGGGTTTTGATCTTGCAAAACAGCTCCCGTCTCGGTAACATAATCTTGATGCCCGTCCCCGAAGGGTGAATTCTGCGTTCCTGTTGTCTCGGCCAAATCCTGCTCTTGCAGACTCAGCAAAGATTCTCTCTGCAAGTAGTCATTAAGCCTGCTTAACGCTTTACAAGCCAGGGATATCTCAGGATTGGAGTAGTGGATGTCGTAGCCTTCCGTAGGCCAAGGGACGGTAAACAACCTTGTGTTCAAATATTTGTAAGTGCACCCTGGGTTCCCAATTAATGTGCGAGATACAGGGGTAACAAAATCCTTCCCTTTGATCCTTACAAGGTCTTGGAAGAAACAAACATGCTTTCGTAAAGTGAAAAATGCTTCTTGGACTTCTTCGTGAAGGTCTTGAGGAATCTTCTCGGAGTTCTTGAGGATAAGTTTGGAGTATTTAGTCTTCCACTAAAAATAAAAGGAAAAGATAAATCATTCTGATACATATTTGAAGCTTAGGATGGAGGGAGTGTTATATATAAAGATTTCAACTGAATTACCCACCTGACCCTTTGTGTATAGAGATTCTCCATCATCCAGGTCATGGTTGTCCCAACGGTGTTGTTTTCTTTGAAGAGGCAACTGGACTTTCTTTGTTTTTCCTTGAAGACGTTTCGCTTCTCGCCCAAGAAGCTTCTTCAGTTCAACTTCTTCAGAACTAAAGAAGCTTCTTGGATGAGAAGTGAAATGTCTTCAAGAAAGAAAAAAAAGGAAGTCCAGTTCCCTTTTGATAAAAGCACCTTTGGGACATCTGATCTTTTGGAAACTGCTCAAGTGCCCTCTGAAAACCCCTGGATCCATTAGAGACCTTGGACAAACTGATCTACTAAGGCTTCCTCAGTGAAGAGAGGGATTGTTGTGTGAAAGTCCAGACCAATCAGAGAGGGATCTGTCCATGACAAGGTGCCAAACTCAGTTCCCGAAATTGTCAGAGTACACTACTTTTGTTCCAAGATGGCAGATTTAAAGTATGAAATTTTATGTGCATGGGGCCTTCAACAGGTTGACTCCAGCCTAGAGTTGCAGTGGACACAACAGATTTCTCCTCCAGGGAAGTGTTGAGGTCTGTCAGCAGCCTGCGGAGACGGCAGCAGAGTCGGACAGTGGGGAGGAACATGGGCCAATTCGGGAGTCTGGGGAGGACTTGGACGAGGGTCCTGCGTCTGATATAGAGATGGGGCCAGGACCATCTGGGAGTGGTGTGCTGACTCCGGAGCCTCCAGAGTCTGACAGCAGTGAGGCAGAGGAACAAGGGGAGCCTGTTACCAGTGCACATGTGCACAGAGCTGCCAGAAGGCAAGAACAGTTAAGACAAAAGGGGCAACTCAGGAGTAAGGCTTGGAAGTGATTGGCCCTCCCATAAGACACAAAGGAGGAGCAAAGGGACAGGAACCTTTGCAGGAAGCAACTTTGCTCATACTGGTCGGTTTGAAATCTGAAGCTCTGTGTTGAATTTGTGCTCCATTTGGCCTCGTATAACTAATGGGAAATTTAGTCATTGGCAGCATTTCAAGGAAGATAAAGGTGGGTGCTTATCAGACTTATCCTGAAGGATTTTGGCAGACTTCAGTGGGACTATTTACAAACTGTTTGAGACTCATTACGGGCTGTGAATGACTATAATTCACAGCCATTGAAATTTTTAAAAAAGGGTTTTGGAACTAACATGCATTTGTTAGTGTCTCAATAAGCCTTAGTCAGAACAGGAAGGTGGGTTGATATCCTTCCCATACCATCAGTTTGGGGAGCTACACAAGCACACTAATATTGGGAAAACAGTAGGTTAACAGCAGGATTATCTGTCCCACATATGGCTAATCTGCAGAAAAGTGCCTCTTGATGCCAACAGAGTCTCACAGATAAGAACAGCAAAATAGTGCGTCGTCCTGCCTTGATCAGTTGCCCAAATCTCTCTGGAAGAATCAGACGAGTGCCAAAAACAACAACACAACATAACACAACATCTAAGAGGAAACATGGCCTACTTCTTCTCGCTCTTCACTGTTAAAGATAGGAGCTAACTCATCATACGTTATTTTTTTAAATGCCAGCCAAAGAACAGCTCATTACAGATGCTGGCAGTCATGAAACTGAACTTGACTGATTGTCAATAGTTAAGAGAAGTTGGATCTGGTGAGTAACTTGCATTCAGGGCAATTCTCCAAAATGTTTCCCAATGTCCTTCCCTAGACAAGGAAGTTGAGAAAATATCCCAGAAGAAACTGGAAACCAGTCAGTGCCTATAATGGTTGTATCTATACAACCATTAGAGACACTATACACAAAAGGGACACAGTGGCTCAGGGGCTAAGACGCTGAGCTTGTCGATCAGACAGGTTGGCAGTTCGGCGGTTCGAATCCTTAGTGCTGTGTAACGGAGTGAGCTCCCGTTGCTTGTCCCAGCTTCTGCCAACTAGCAGTTCGAAAGCATGAGAAAAAATGCAAGTAGGAAAATAGGGACCCCCTTTAGTGGGAAGGGAACAGCATTTAGTCATGCCGGCCACATGACCACAGAGACGTCTTCGGACACCGCTGGATCTTCGGCTTTGTAACGGAGATGAGCACTGCCCCCTAGAGCCGGAAATGACTAGCACGTATATGCGAGGGGAACCTTTACCTATATACATGGATCTGGACTTATAACTGTTTGCTTAGTGAGCATCCAGAGTTACAACAGCACTGGAAAAAAGTGACATATAATTGGTTTCACACGTAACAATAGTTGCGGCATTTCCAGGGTCACATGATCAAAATTCAGAGGGTTAGGAACCGACTCATATCTATGATGGTTGCTGTGTCCAGGAAGCCTGTGGTCTCCTTTCGCGACCTGCTGGCGAGCAAAGTCAACGGGGAGATCAAATTCATTGAACCATGTTACTAATTTAATAATTACAGTGATTCACTTAACAAGAGTGGCAAGAAAGGTCGTAAAATGGGGCGAAACACACTTAACTGCAATACATTTTGGGCGCAATTGTGGTCGTAAGTGGAGGACTGCCTATATCGTCACTGAAAGAAACATTACTTTTTAATAAGAGATACCGTATATGCTACTTTCCGACTTGCGAAATTAAGCATCTTATTAATACACCTTAAACACTGCCTGCCTGGTTTCCATGCTTTAAAAGATTTTTTTTTTTTTAACAAAAGAAAAGAGGAAATGGAAACACATTTCTAACACATCATCTGAAAATACCAATCAGGCTTCTTTCATTCTCTAGCCAGGCATCCTGCTTTGTCCTACATGAGGAAAACATTAAGTGATCAGTAGACAAAGAAAGGTTGAGAGGAAAAAGAGAGGAAGAAAGAAAGAAAGAAAGAAAGAAAGAAAGAAAGAAAGAAAGAAAGGAAGGAAGGAAGGAAGGAAGGAAGGAAGGAAGGAAGGAAGGAAGGAAGGAAGGAAGGAAGGAAGGAAGGAAGGAAAGACAGACGGAAAGAAAGAAAAAGAGAGAGGGGGAGGTAAGGAGGGGGAAGAGAGAGAAAGACATAATGAATGAAAAAAGAGAAAGAAAAAGAAAAAGAAAAAGAAGGATGGAAGGAAGGAAGGAAGGAAGGAAGGAAGGAAGGAAGGAAAAGAAAAAACATCATCAGGCTTGTCTTGGACGTTTTTACTGATTGAAGGAACAAAAATCACTTCACTTCTGCCATTATCTCTGACAGCTAATATGAAAGGTCATCCCATCCCCCCCCCCCCCCCGCAGAGATCAAAGCAGCCCTAAATGGATCTGCTCAAAGGGGGAGGGGGAAGCATACAAAAGTTTTGAAACTTAATTTTTTAACATTATCCCAGAACAAAATCTAACGCGCCCCGAGCAACCCAAGGTCAGGCGATATATATATATATATATATTTAGCTGTCTACCAATCATACACAGCCTCTCTCTGTTTTTGTTTAAGTCAAGATGAGCTTGTCACTCAAGGGACAACAGCAGCCACAAACTCTTGCCAAGCCCTCTTGGGCCAAACCAGGGTGGAGTCCCTGTTGTCTACGGGGAGGTAATAACATTTGGATCAAGAAATTGAAGGCATTTCTAAAATGGCAGCCTTCACGATTTGATGACCTCTACCTGCATGGAGACCAAGTCCTTAAAAACATCTACTTCTTTTCATTACTTCTACTGCTGCTGCCCGTAGCTCTTCAAGCTAAGAAAAAATCTTGGTTTTTTTTAAGTCTTTCATTTGGCATCCTCCAACGTAACATAAATGGAGTGGAGGCCAGCTTGGGAAATACCATCCCATGATATTATGCTGTTATACGTTTTATTGGTATTGAGCGGCGTAGTGACTTAAGAGTGAAGACATTCGCCTCCCGCTTGGAAGGCTGAGAGGGCAGAGACAGATGTTTCTCTATCAGCGCACAAAGAGAAAATATCTGCTGTGAACTCCAAGTTTTAGAACTGATTCACACATTGGCTTAACACAAGGGTCTTCAAACTTGACAGCTTTAAGACTTGTGGACTTCCACTCCCAGAATTTCTCCTCCGGTCATGTTAGCTCAGGAATTCTGAGAGTTGAAGTCCACAAGTCTTAAACTCGCCAAATTTGAAGACCCTTGGCTTAACCAAAGAATAACCAATAACTTCTGGGATTCACCTGTCATGCAAAACCTTAACATGCTCTGGTTTTGTGTTGCGTGAGCACAGCAATGGTTTCTCAAATAATTCTCTCCATAGACTTTCCAGCACTTCCCTTATCTTGTTATTGTCAAAATTAAAGTCCAATAAAAGCTAATTTAAAAATATATTACAAAGAATATATAAAGAGTATAAAGAGAAGAGAATTTAAAGAGCACATTATAAGGTAACCTATAAATATTAATACTACCAGAATCATACTACCTGACACTTCTAACTTGATACCTTCCAGATAACTTAAGGGAATAATTCCCCCAAATACTCAACCAACTTAGCATTTTTAAGAATGCCAAATTGGTGAAAATTCTCCATAATTTCAGCCTGGAGTCTTTTTAATCCTATCTCAATAGACCTGAGATGTTTTGTGGGTAAAACATAATGTCTAAATCTGAATTACATAACTTTTCTCAACATATGTTAAGTGATAAATTTTCAACTGCTGTGAAAAAGAATAACCCTCTTCCATCAATCTTTAGAAAGAAAAGGGCAAAAGAACACTCATTTCTTCCTGAAGCAGTGGGGGAGGGAAATGTGGGGGCCATTAAAAATGCATCTTTCGACCACATGTCAACATAAGAAAAGTTGACATGGCTATAATGTAGGAACTCCTGCCATAGCTGTTCAAACTGAGAAAAAGGTTCATTTTTATGTCTTTCAATTCAGTACGCTCCTACTTAATTGGATAGAACTTACCCACGTTTTCCCATGTGTTTCCCATTTATCCAAACTGCTGAAGAAAAAGTTTGCAAACTTTCCCATTTTTTCAATAACCCCTCCTTGTTTGGATTTATTTCTACTCATATTCTTCTCTGGCCCAGGTTTCTTATCTTACTGGGACAGAGACGTTTATTCAGATCAAGTCAAACTCTTCTTGAATCACGTCCCTTTCTCTTCAAACTCACCTTCATAATTGAGACGTACCCATATACAAGCTGCTGCATTTGCAGAGGGGACACCAAGAAAGGCGGAAACCACTAACTTCAAATGGGGGCAACCACCTGAGTTTATTTACTTTGCAAATAAAGGGAAAATGAAACAAAGGCTCCAATTTGGCCTTATATGAAACCATGTGTAAAAACCAAATCACTCTTCATTGTTCTCCTTTAATCTGCTTGGGGATATTTGTTTAATCAGTTTTGAGTTTGGAGGTTTCCTCTTGTTCTCTCGCTAAGTAGCGAGCTGAAGTACTCAAGAACAAGAAAAGACAAACAAATGCATTGTTAAAAGTTTCTCAAAATATGTTACGTTGATCTTTTGAATATTATTACCAGTTGATGGAAGCCAGCATCTTTTGGTGTCAAATACGGAAGGCAGCTCTCACCAAGTTCATTCAGAAGTTTTCGTTTCTACAAAGACAAGAACAATTATACGAGGGTGGGTAAGATTCAAAACCTCTATTAAACACTCTCTAGATTTTTTTTTTTTACAAAATTATGTAAACACAACAAATCTGTAGACCACTCAAAATGTGAACAGTGAAAAGAGCAAATGTACAATAAAAGTAAAAGATTCTGCCTCCTCAAATATCACATAATTTGAGAGCTGATAGAAATAGTGTGATTTCAACCCAATAAAGTGATATCGGAGAAGACCAAAGCAGCAGTGAAGACATAGGTCAGGCATAAAAACCTCCAACAAATCAAGGCTTGTTTGGAGAAGCAGCAATTATTGGATGAGTTTATTGGCCAGAGAGGAAGAGAGAGAGAGAGTGAGAGAGAGGGAGGGAGGGGGGGGGAGGGGGGAGGGAGGGAAGGAGGGGAGGGAGGAAGGAAGGAGGGAAGGAAGGAAGGGGGAAGGAAGGAAGGAAGGAAGGAAAGGAGATAAAGAGGAGGGGAAGATAAGGAAGAGAAAGGAGAAGGAAGGGTGGGAAGGGGGAGAGAGGGGAGGAGAGGGGGAGGGGAGGAGAGGGGAGGAAAGGAAAGAAAAGGAAAGGAGTTCAGAAAGAGCTATTTTTATGTATGCACAATAAAAGAATATTGAGCTGCTAGAGTGAGGATATTTCACAAGTGCAGGGCAGCACAATATCCTGACAATTTCTTTGTCAAATGTTAAGCTCTTGGCATTAAAATGCACTCTGGAGTGGAAATAATACCGGCTCACATGTGATTGTCAGATCTGACTAAGCGGGTGCTCTCTGGCTTAATGTGCAGACAAACACACACACAGCTGGGGTAGTCTGAACACACAGCTCTTCTCATATGCAGGGAGCTGTCACACATGTGTCAAATACATCAAGCCACTTGCAGATTCCACCAAAATAAAAACGAGGAAAAAAGGGGGGCATCTGGGGGAGAGAGATTGCCTGTTCCACCAACCGGTTGGTTGATAATGTGTTTATGCGCCTGAAATGCACCTGGATATACACCACGCTTGCAAAATCTCAATGGATCAAGAGCTTTCAGACATAGGAATGAAATCCCCCGACAAAAATAAGCGCGGTGCAGATTTGAAAATGCACATTTAATGGGGGTAAAAAATGGCCTTGTCCAAATAAAAATAACTTTTGAATAACCAGGATTGGGTTTAAACAATTTATTAAAAATCTGCTAATCTTCTCACTTTTTCTCTCTGTGTGCATATATATATATATGTGCGGAAAATAAAAATAAAAAAGCAAAATGCTTGCGAGATTGTCAGGTGATGTATTGCTGTGCTCGCAGTCAATGTTGACGTGTTCAGGCTTTCTTTGAAGGGTGTGCAGGAAAGATAAGTTTTGCTTTAAACACAGAACAAAACAGTCCCGGTCAAAACTCAAAAAATGAGCATTCCGTGTTCCGAGGAACCAAATGTTTTGTGTTCTGATTCCTAGGAAATGCTGTAATGAGAAAGAAACAGAATAACAAGTTGGAAGGGACTACTCCAACCCACTCCCTGTTCAGGCACGAAAACCTATACTATTTCAGACAAATGGTTGCCCAATTTAAGAAAATTTCCAATGTTGCAGCATCCACCAGTTCAATAGAAAGAACAGAGTCCAGTGTTGTGGCTGGTTCCTCTAGAAATGCACTCAACTTACACTGCTAGTATTAGCCTAACAAATGAAAGTATGTATGAATCATTATGTGTTGATTTACAGACAACAAAAAGTAAGTCTAGCTTCAGGATTTTCTTTTTCCCAGGAGGGCTTGCTTTATATTCAGAACCAAAAAAAAAAAAACACCCCATCATCTATTTATTTCACTCAAGAGTTGGAAATCCTGCTGGCACCCAAGTGTTTCCTTTTCTTTCCTCTTCCTCCTAATTGTCAAGACTACACAACACAGATGATGTGTTTCGCCCTGCCTGCTTGCCAGCATCCGAAATGGATGACTACCCTTCACCTGTGTCAACACAAACTTAATTGAAAGCCAAATTACAGGTTTTGTAAGGTTTCCCCCAAAGGGAACAGTGCAGTAGCCCATTGGCTGCTCAAAAGCATTTGTGACAAAATAAATGTGAACAAACTTATTCTTTGGGCAAAAGGCAGAAATTGTTTATTCCCAAATACCAACAAAGCACGGTGATGGGGAATAAATTCAGAAATTCTAGAGCATAAATATGCCACCTGACTCAACATTCACATAGGCCACTAGGATTTACTTCAGTCTTACTCAACATGATACACTTATTGTAATGGTTAGGAGAAGGAGTGGCAAAATCTGGGCCGGGGGGTGGTGGAATTAAAAGAGGCATAAGCCTAGAATCCCTACGTAGCCATAAATGGTCCAAGTTCAACTCACCTTAAATTCTGTGGACCTTGACCTCCAAGCAGGTGCTAACCTTTAGTTGAGAAGATTCTTCTGCATAATAGGCTTTGCAGCAATAAATCAGTTGAATTGAATTTTCATGTGTGATGTTTGGTGCCTGATATACTGTGGTTATAACTGCCCAGCCTCCCAATTTTTAACTCCTCTGCTGACCTGGGAATTCCCGTGCTTTCCCACCCACTCCACTGATACACCTGAACCCATGGTGGCAGAAAAAGGGGAGAAGTAGGGGAGAAGGACTCTATCAATGGTCATCCTTTTGTGGTGGGAAAACTAACAGCTTTGGAAATCGTCATAGCAAGAGCTCTAACGCTTACTAAGTAGGTTGGCATAGACCAGTGGTGGCTAACCTTTTTGGGCTCCTGTGCCAAAAATTGTGTGCACGCTTGCTCACATGCCAGCACCCAGAAGGCAATTCACGCGCCCCCCCCACACCCCCTGTGCCTGCGCCCCCCATTCCCCCCCCCCCCCCCCCCCCCCCGCCGCTGCTTTCTTACCTGCACTGTGCCTCCCAGGTGATTTTTGGCCTTTTTCAGCCTCCCAGAGGCTTGAGGAAAATTTCTGCAGCCTTTGCAGGCCGAAAAATGGGCCCGTTTTGTCACTTCTGGTATTTCCAGAAATACAGGAAGTGACGAAACGGGCCTATTTTTCGGCCTGCAAAGGCTTTCCTCAAGCCTCTAGGAGGCCGAAAAAGGCCAAAAACAGGCCAAAAATCAGCTGTGAGGCTCACGCATGTGCAGTGAGGTAAGTTTGCCTGTGGCTCACATGCCGGCACCAATGGCTCGACGTGCCACCTGTGACACGCGTGCCATAGGTTCGCCATCACGGGTGTAGACTATTTTACAACTCTGCTTAGCAGTTTTCCAAGGATGCAGGATGGAGTATCTCTCATATCAATCAAGAGGCAGGAGTATCTTCTGCATATCATGGGCATATTCCACTACTGGGGGCGTTATGATGATGAACGTTACATACAAATCGTACTTTTCCAGAGTCCTTGATTCAATTAAAAGTTACGCTACATCAGGATTGGGTAACTTTTAATGGTCCAAAGCTTGAATGGGTATGGTGATGTCGCAAGATGGAAGGAATCAATCAATCGTGCCTATGAGGACAACTTAAGGTTTCCATGTTTTGGGGGAGTTGAAAGTTCTTTGTGCGCTCACACATTAAGAGGTGCTGTGCCTATTTTAGCACTTCCTCTATAGTCCTCATGCGTTTCCCACCTCAGAAACTCTTTCTCAGAAATTACAGAAACTTTTGACCTCAATTTCCAGCAAGCATGGCCAGGAGCCTTCCTGGAAACTAGATAAGGGAGTTTTAAAAAAGATGTAACTGCAGAACCGTACTTCAAAATTATGTCTGCAATCAAAAATGCAATGTCAAATTTGCAGGAACATCTCGTACATCCCATGCCATAACTGTGTTATGCACATCCCTGATTGCCAGTGATATAAAAAGGTGTGGCAAAGGCAAATTTGGTTAGCCTCACTGAGACCTCATGAAAAAAAAATCATCAATTAGTCAAATGACTGATGACTAAAGCAGTACAGTAATACCGACAGTTGATTTAAAAGGGCGAAGTGTCTCAAGAATTCAACAAACACAAAGAAAATACAAACGCTGTGCTCACATCTTATTTATCTTCACACCAAAGAGTTTCCCCAAGAATAATAACCTTCACCACTCTGCGGTGATGTCGGCTTTTTGGCATGACTATAGATTACTATAATGAACTTCAAATGTAATTTTGTCAGGTTGGGATTGATAACGTTGCCTCGTGTGTACTTTGGGCCTTCCCAGTTGATCCGCTCGGTTCTGTAACCATTGAAATGTACTTGCACCAGCTTGTCTGATAGAAAGTCAATCAGGCTAATGACATGAGAACTATTCTACATATTGAAATTCATCCAAGCTTGCAGGCTGAATCCATTACTGATTAACTTGCCCCACATTGGTCTATAAATACCACTCTACCCGGTAACTTGTTCTGAGTTCAAACTTCTCAAGAAGCTAGAGGGGAAGGGAAATTTCAGGTAGACCTCGACTTACAACCACAATTGAGCCCAGAATCGAGGTTGCTAAGGGAGACATTTGCGAAGTGCGTTTTGCTCCATTTTACCACTTTTCTTTGCCGCATTTGTTCAGGGAATCACCGGAGTTGTTAAATTCGTCACACAGTCATTAAGTGAATCCAGCTTCCCCGTTGTCTTTGCTTGTCAGAAGGTCGCAAAAAGAGGATCACATGGACACTGCAACCATCGTAAATATGAACCAGCTGTCAAGCATCCAAATGTAAATCACTTGACCATGGGGATGCTGGAATGGTCCTAAGTGTGAAAAAATGGTCCTCAATACCTTTTTTTCCCAGCGCCGTTGTAACTCTGAATGGTCATTAAATGAATTGTTGTAAGTCAAGGACCGACTGCACTGAGCAGAAGGCTGGATTCAAGAGCCCCCCCCCCATCCAACTCTACCTGTGGTTCTACAATTTTAAGGCTTTGAGTTCTCTTTCTTCAGGTGATCTCCTCATACTTACCCAAGAAAGATGCTTACTATGTAGAATGGGTGTCAAACTCGATTCCACTGAGGGCCACACC